TTATAATATTTTTAAAAAATAAAAAATTAAATATTAAAATAACAAAACATCAAAATAACTTTTAATCACATGTATAACACAATATAATTTAATATAATCACAACTACGATCATAATTACAACACGTCATAACAACCCCAAACGCACTCGGCAACCCACCCTTTTTTTTTTCCCACTTTTTGACATTTCGTTATCGTCTACTCCAAATGCAGTTAATGGTGGTTAACGGTGCTGTGTGGAAATAGACCAGAACGAAATAGTTTTGAAAGTTAACAGATGAGTATGGAAAAAAATAGAGTATATAGACTAAAATGAAAAAAGGGTAATAGTTAATGGATGATTTATTAAATTAAGCCATTTGCAATACTAGGAAGGCGTTAATGGGCTTTCATCTATATTCCTATTGGGCTTCAATGTTAGGCCCACCTGATATGTTAATTGGATTATATCTTGGGTTGTTTGGGCCGGTTGGATTGGATCTTATATTACTCTTTCAGTCTGCTGTGTGTCAAAAACTTCATTTGGTCCGAGGAAGAAAGGCCCAGAATCAGGTCATATTTGGTTTAACTCTTAGAGAATAACCGACAGTCTTCTTTTTTTTCTTTTTTTCTTTTTTTCTTTTTTTTTTTTATTAGGATAACCGACAGTCTTCTAGTATAGTATCATCAATATTTAGCTGTCGGTCGATAAGGCTAACATTAATTTCACTGTTATAAATAGTTGATAATTAATAAAATAATTAATAATATTTTTGATACATTAAAAAATTAATTATTTAGTATAATAGATATTTAAATATTTAATTTTGACTCTTAAATTAAGTTTTTTAGTTAATTAACAAAATAATTAATATTTATTATGTACTTAACAGTTTAAAATTAACTTATATATTGATATTTATCTAGTTGTTTAAGGAAAAAAAAGTCATAAGCTCATGAAATCAATTAATAAACTAAATACTCCCTAATTCTTGAATAAAAGCATTGTGATTCATATACCTAAACATTTTTTTTATTTATCTTGAATTATACAATAAAAAACAATACTCTCTCATTTTTCAATCCACTCTACTCATATATCATTCAACTCAAAATCAACATCTTTTATTTTCTATCAAAGTAAATTACCACATAACTATTTATTTTTTTGGCCATGCCTAAACAATAGTAATACTATGAGGTTGGGGTGTGGTTATGTCCATTAATTATTTTGTTAAAATTATCTAGTGTAATTGATATTTTACTTATTTATAACTTTTTTAAATAAATAATTATAATATCTAAAAATATTAATTTATAAATACATTTTTCATATATTAAATAATAAATATTATTTTTTATTAATTATTAACTATTTTTAACAATTAAACTACACCAAAATTAAAACAGTCTCAACAAATTAAGTGGCCGGTGACGGTGACCATAACTACACCATGAGGTTTGGTGTGGGTGGCATCCAAATTTTCAGGAATGACGATAAAATGGGCTGGAAATTTGTTGGAAGCCGTCCTCTAATCCATTCATTGTCAACGTCGGTGACACTCTAATCCATTGTCAAAAAAATACCGTACCTTTCCAACTTAAAAACTATGATAAGAAACACAAGAAAAATCTGAAGTCATGGTTTTTACTTTTGAAAATTAGTTTTGTTCCATCTATTAGGTATGGCCCCGCCAAAAAAAAAAAAAAATTCTATCTATTAGGTAGAATTTTGGAAATCTAAAAGTTTCAATCGTTTATGTTGATTTCTCTTCTTACTTTCACATACGATATTTCTAGGAAAAAAAAAAAAAAAGAAAAGTAGGACAAAAGTGAGCTAGCACGCACATCGTCAATGGTTCCAAAGTCAAAACACAAAAATTGATGCAAAATCTTGCGACTAAAAATATTGCCGTCACAAGCTTTATTACCAAAAGAAAGCAGTTATTAAGAAGCAATAATTATATAATTATTATAGTGTTTTTATTTTGAAAATAATAAAATTAATTTTTATTTTAATTATAAATATAATGGGTTAATTTTTTATTAATTTATTTTGAAATTAAGATCAAAATTTATTTTTTTTTAAATAATTATAATTGTTATTTACTAATTAAGTTTTATCTTGTTTCTTGAGGGAACAAGATACACAATCCTTAAAGAAATACCCATGATCTGTTTCCTTTGATGGTAACAAAACCTATAGAAAAACATCATTCCTTCTGCTCTAACCTTGACTTTCTTACTTGAATAGATCACCTCCCACGCTATGCACACGAAATGTTGGCATTTTCTTGCTAAATCTGTAGTTGACCTTATGCCCTGGTTTCTTCCTCCCCAAGTATATGTGTTCTACCAAACTTATGCTTCTCAAATTTGGACAAATTAAATTAGTTAACAAATGAAGCAGCGAGAGACACATTGTCTGAGCTTCATTTCTTTATTTTATCGTGTCTGCGACACAGTATTTTCCAGGTTTAAAGTTAGACCAAGCCGCGTGCGTCATGTGTTTTCTTTCTTTCTACATGAGAAATGGCCGGTGGTCTTAAACTCTTAGTTCAATTTGAAAGCGAAAAGGGTGTCGTTTCTTGCTCCTTGCTTGCCCCAGCACCGTCCTGTTCCCATGCGTTTTATCACTCTCCTGTTTTTATTAAAAAATTATCGGCGCCTGTTTTTATTAAAAAATTATGGCAAAACATAGTCATATGTGATGATTTATCACATATTTTAATACTATTTTAAAACTAAAAAATTAATTTAATAATTATATAAATCTTTATATATTTAAGTACTATTCTTTCTTTTCATCTTTTTTTAATGTAAGATCTTATTTTTTTACCACACCTCACAAAAAACTTTTACTTCAAACAAAAAAAAAAAAAAAAAAAAAAAAGAATGACTAAGAATAAAGTTTTGCAGTTGTTAGTAGGTGAGCAATTTAATTCGAGACTTCACTAACCCTAACCTTGACTTCTGAATAATCCATTTCCACTAGTCCACCGTCCGATTACAGTTGATAGTAGGTGGGGAATTTCCAGGAAGCGAAGATGAGATGAAATTTCGGATTTTGGATTTACAATAGAGTACAATTTGAGTTTTGGTTTTGATTGCCAGCTATGTGCAAAGTTTAATATGTAATTGTGTTTTGTGATTGTTTTGTACTTTGATATATAATGCGCTTGATTGATGTAGTTCACGTATGAATCATGGCATGTACTTTTAAGAAAGAATTTTAATTGTATTTAAAATCAAAACTCAATAATTATAAATCGATTTATAAAATATATATTTCAATATAAAGTTAATACTTCAAATCCTTTTACTCATAAAATTATAAACTTGTTAAAAAAGTACCAAAAAAAAAAAAAGAATTGTAATTAATTTAACATCAATTAATATGTGTACGTCAAGTAATGAATACGTGATCCGAAAGCAAGACATGAGTAAAAGGTGAGCCAAAAAGGAAAATTTGGTATATATATATAATGAACATTATTGATTAATAAATGTTCATGTGCTTTTCTTATACTCAATAAAGTGAATAAACGCGGCCGGTGACAAAGGTACAAATCGATATATAGGGAGCTGGCATCATTTAAACATGTTAATAGGAAAAGTTAAAAGAAGTGACCTTACACCAAATTAATCACTTTTGGAGAGACAACACCGATTGGGATTTGTGCGGGATTTCCCTTGCTCCTGATGTTAATATTTCTTTTCAAGAATTTCAATTGGTTACTCCACGTAGTGGGGGACTAGACAAACCACTTGGCGCACGAGAAAACTTTTTCTGGGGAGGCTTCAATCATGCCATCCACATGGTCAACATAGGCATAGAGTGTTTAGTGCCTTTTTGTGGGTCGATGTATGTTGAGATTCTCGTGCTGCTAGTGCTCCGAGTGAGAATAAAATCTTCAAAAATGTTCTTCACATGTCGTACTGTGTATCGTTTTCAGTTATAGCAGCGTGTTGAAATTTAACATATAGCGAGTAGCGTATCATAACAGTATCTTTAATCTACTAATTACATGTGAATTTGAGATAATACATGTTTCTTTAATGTTAACGAATAGTATGTTTAGTTCAAGTTGACCTTATTATATTAGCATTTGTTTTTTTTTTTTTTGTCTTTCCCTAATGGAATAAGAGATTTCATATGATTTAAATTCCTCAATTAATTAGATTAGTACATATATTTTTTTGAAGTGAACAAAAAGGAATCTTGCTTCCTGTCCTGTTGGTTTATGCTTTCCGAAGTCCGAAGTGTCCTAATTCTGTTCCTTCTATAGATTATTTAGGGGCAATACTGTCCGTAAGTTCTGCGAATTCTCAGTAGAATATAAAATGTTTGCAGTGAAGTGTTGGTGTAGTGGCCACTAATATTGAGTGAAATTAGACTCTTTTATAATGGGGTCGTACTTGATTGAATGTGGATTAGAACCACAAACATGATTTAGCAAACCTAGTAATTAATTTATCATATATTAAGATTAACTTTTCGGTAGAAATCAACCTTTTATTTAAGTAGAGTACGGACTT